TTTATTGCACTATTATTTTCTTTTAGCAAAGTCTGTCTCACTCATTATCAGCCGGGGTGAATTCCATGTGCAGAAAAGCCCTTGGACAGTACCAGCACTTAGTCTTGGGGTTAGTCAAGAGGAATGAGAAACTGACGACTGGGATTCTGTTTTTAACCCAGCCAGATACCTCAGCTGGCAAGTGGCTCAGCTTCCGCACCATAAAATGGGTATAATAATAGCTTTCCCTTACCACTGTGAAATATTTAGAATGCAAATCAAGCCAAACCTGTCTTCTTCCAAAGGCGAAGCTTAAACTAGCCTCCGAAATCCTGAATGAGCCCAGATTTCAAGGGAAAACATAAAGTGGGAACCACCTAGAGGTAGTGTAATTTAGTGGTTAAAAATATGTAGACTTTGGAATGGTACAGCCTCATTCAGATCCCAGCAGCTGTGTGATTTGGGGTAAGTTTCCCAATTTTTCAAATCTCCTTTTTTTTCTCTAGTCAATTGGAAGTAACGGTATATACTTGTGTAGTTAGGATTAAGTGATAGACAGTTAATGCTGCTCTTCAAATTCTTCTAGTAGGTGATCTTCAAGTTAGAGTGACTGAACTAATACTCAGGATGCTAGGGACATTGCCTGAAGCAGTGTGCCACAAATGAGACTTGTCAGCCAGGTCTCAGGTTTCACCCTAAAAATACATACAGATTTGCATTTTACTCCTCAATATAGTCTTGTTTATTTCACTAAAATGGAAATTCCACGAAGCCAAGAAGAGTATCTGTTTTATTTCTTCTATAACATTAAAAAATAGTTATTGGATAAATGAATACATGTACAAATAAGAGTTTAAATTATGTACTTAGCCACAGGGCAACTGCCCCACCAAATACACAACCGTGTCTTTATTATTTATTTTGTGGCTTTTGTACTCCAGTTGCTTGACTCCACCTCCCTGGATAGGCCCATAATCAAACTTGAGAAGCATTTATTTAGCAGGAAGCCATAGAGGAACTCATTAATAGTAACACTATCATTTCTCTGCTCACTACTTCTCTACCTCATTGTTCCTAAGGCTCTATGGACTTAAAAAAAAAAAAATATATATATATATATATATATATATATATATATATATATATATAATTAGGAAGGTCTGGGAGACCTTTAATCTGTGTTTCTCTAGTCATACTCACTCTCCCAGGTAATTTCTATACATTTGGTTACTCCTGGCTTCAGCATATAGCAACTTGGTAAAACTTCCTAGAACAAGCATGTCAAACTCAAAGGCTAACATGGGCCAAATAAACAAGGTTTAAGTATATGTGGGCCGCAAAAAAAAAAAAAAGCTGCTATTTTCATAGAAATGTAGGTTTATTTTGATAGAGACATGCTGAATACAAAGGGCTAAAATAAATGAGTAATCATTAACATGAAATAATAGAACATCTTAATAAAAATTAATTATTTTTCTTGAACATTAACTAAGACACTGAATAACTGCACAAATTAATAAGCGTAACACAAAGAAACCTATTTTTCTTGTTCTACAAAAGCAAAATATTTCCTGTTGAGCACACCAAACAAGTCAGTACAAGACTAATGACATGGCAATCGGCTGCTAAAATACTCGCTGCTAGTATTAGTGGAGAGTAATGGTACGCCTACAAGTAAGGCGCGCAAGGGAAATGAATGCAACCTGATTATAGTAATCAGTCATCAGCAAACTTTGTAGTTCATTATTAATAATCTATACTAATAAAAAGGTAATTTGCTAATTAGACCGGATAGACTGGACATCTTCTGGTTGTCCGGTCCTCCTTCTGGACAAAGCCATGGTGGTGGGGGCCGAGGCAGAAGCGGTTAGGGGTGATCAGGCTGGCAAGTGAGCACTTAGGGGTGATCAGGCTGGCAGGCAGAGTGGTTAGGGGCGATCAGGCAGGCAGGCAGAGGGGTTAGGGGAGATCAGGCAGGCAGGCAGAGGGGTTAGGGGTGATCAGGCAGGCAGGCAGAGGGGTTAGGGGCGATCAGGCAGGCAAGCAAGTGAGCTGTTAGGAGCCAGCAGTCCCAGATTGCAAGAAGGATGTCCGACGGACTAAACCAGCAGTCAGACATCCCTCAAGGGGTCCCAGATTGGAGAGGGTGCAGGCCAGGCTGAGGGATTCCCCTTCCCCCATGCATGAATTTCGTGCACCGGGCCTCTAGTTATGTATAACAGGATATTGTAAAAAATAAGTTATGAAATTTCTATTGAAACTTTTCTTACATACCGTTATATTGGCTGGGCCACAAAAATATTCGTTGTAGGCTGTGAGTTTGACATGCTTGTCCTAGACACAATGAGCAGTAGAATTGAAAGAGCTTTTTCTCCTCCTCCCTTTAGGGTTACTAACCTGGAATTCCTGGATGACTTTCATGGAGTCTGGGAGCTCCTTGAAACTGGGTGTTTTGGGGGAGTTTCTAAGGAAAGGATTCTCACTGAGATCTTTATAACTATTACCCTAAACATTACATAAATTGGAATCAGAATTGACTGATATTTAAGTTACAATTAATACTACTTTTAGTTCCTTGGAGATTGATAGTATATAATAATTTCCACTTGGAAATCACGAAACTAAGATTAGACTTCCACAGTCACCCCCTCTCTGTTCTTGCCTCTTTCACCATGTTTCAAGGTCCTCATTCCTCTGGGCTTTGCAGTTACATATTCTTTGCTAGATATTTATACTTGGAACCTAGCATGCTCAATGCAAATATTTTTAATCTTATGCAAAACTATTATAGATAATTCTTTGCATTCCAGATGAAAACAACTTGCAGACATATAAGGTGAATATCACTTAGGCAGAAAGGATGCATATCAATAAAATCACAATTTGAACTGAACAAAAATAAACCTATAGAGATTAATATATAGTCTCAAAATTGCCTAGCAGATTGCAATTCAATCAAGAAGTTGGAGCCTTTTGACGTTTATGAACATTTATGAATTGTATAAGAACTCTGAGATTAAATATTTAGCCTTAATATTAAAATTGGGATGGGTATTATTGTTTTTCATTAATATATAAAGACAACAATTATATCCAATGAAATCTTTTATTTCACTTTCCTTGAATTTGTCTTAGACTGTGACATAACACACTGATTTTTCTTTCCATCTTGGATTCTTGTCATGGACAGCCTGTGTGTCATTTGACATCCAGAAAAAGTTTTGTTTTATTCCAGGCCTTGGATTTATTAGTCAATCTGGGTACAATTTACATTGATCTCTTCTGATCACATCAAAAAATTAATTTTGATTAACTTTTATGAAAAAAATGCTCCTTGAAATTTAGAAAGGGTTATTATGTGCTTAGATATAAGAACATAAATACAAAGTACAATTTAAAAATAGCATATTGTATTATTTGGAGTTATTGAGTTTATAACATGCAACAGAAAAACGATAAGCAAGCATATTTCATAGATAACCACTAATCATATTTTTTGTCTTTCTCTTCAAAGCAAGCTCAAAAAAAGTTGGGGGAGAGGGAGGAAAAAGAAGGAAGGGAGGGAGGGAGAAGAAGGAGAAAGGAAGGAGGGAGGGAGGGAAAGAAAAATATTTTAAAAGATGCACCCTACAATGGTCTAGGATCCTGGCTTGCAGAAGAGACTAGAATTTAATAAAACTTAGAGTTTTGAAGACTTTGAAGATTAGTCAGTCATATATGATATACATTTCAGGTTTGTATGTACTTTCAATGAATCATAAATAATCTAATTACCTTGCTTAAAATTTTAATTGGACTCATCAATTTTGTGAAACACTTTGAAAGCATTGTAAACCCCAACTTCTCTTCGCATACGTTATGCCTGGATTTTCATCTTAGCCCTTCTTGTCCATGGAGCGCAACATCACCTTACACTTGCATGTGCATGGACAGGGTTTCACCTTGGAAATAAAGAAGAAACTCTCTCTTTGGAGGAACTTCTGCAATCGGCATTTGTCCAGAAAATGTGCTGAGAAGTGAAATCTCTTTAATTGCCATTTTTCTGCTTTAGCCTTATTCTATGCTGAGTTGTCTAATCAGACCCTTCTTGATCTCTTTTAATATGGTTTGTTTTGCATATTTCTGGAAGCCTTATGTGAAGTAGTGAAAATCATGGTGTCAGAGAGACAAGAATGCAATCAGTGTTAAGTCCTTGATACATTTGAGTGGGATGGAGGTGGGGATACCTACTTTGTTTTCTCAGCATCCTTGTTTGGTTTATTAATTTCTCATGGATCTTCTGTTACTTCAATCTTATTCTTATAAGAGAAGCTATCAAAACAATGGTGAGCAGATCAGTCCCTATAGCTTATTTGGCTTGTGAGTTGAAGATTAAAAAAGGGGAATTATTAAATTTGAAATAAGGAATGAGAAACTGTTTAGGTCAACTCCCCCAAACCTAAAGTTGTCATCATTAGAGATATGTTTTGGGAGACAGATGTATTATCTTAATATAATTTTTTCAGAGGGGACGTTGCTTGGCTGGTGAGACGTGGTACAGGAGGCAGTACCAAGTCCTCAGCCAGCACCAACCCAGGTCCTCAATTGAGGTTGACAACACATGGAAGTGGTGAATTTGTCCAGAGAATCTTCTGGGCGCTGAATACGTCGCTAGTGTGATAGAGGAACTAAACATTTACGTTTTCATTAAATTGTAATTAATTATTTAAATAAATAAATGTGGCTAGTGGCTACTCTAGTGCACAGCACAACTCTACAAAATACTCATATGATTCAGATCAGAATGAAGGTCACGAAGAATGAGGTTGGCACTTCTTGGGGTGGGGAGTACTGTGTTGGTCGGAGAACAGAAGGTCACACCTTTGGAAAATGTTATGAAGTTAGATCTCCTTCTTTGGGCTCCTGCAGCTCGTCCTTTAGGAGCAACCATCCCTGTCTATACAGTATTTAGATTTGCTTTCCTTCTCCCCATAGTACCATTGGGTTAATTTTTAATTCCTTGTTTTTTCTTTGATTTTCAGTTCCTTGACCATCAGTCTGCAGCCTGCCCCTTCTCTGTATGTAAGTAGAAGTGGTTTCTTTATTTTTCAAAACAGTGTCAGATGTGGGAAATTTGGATCTTTCTTAGCATGTTATCCAGTTGACTTCGTTGTGGTTTCCGGCGCTTCTTCAGCATGCATTAGATTGTTCTGTGTTTGGAGTCGATGCTGTTGTGGGGGTAGCAGTTGCCATCCATGAGGGGCCTGAAAAGACCAGTGGCCCAAGCAACTGGACTTCTGTAAAGACTGCTCTTTACTCTGTCACAGCTGCTGTTTGCAAAAGTCACTGCTCCTCAACACTGTAGCTCACATTCTTCAGCCAGATACACGCAACAACTAGGCTGTTGCTCCACTGTCGGTCAATGGCCAATTATGTATTCTTCAGTTATACACCCATCCCTAGGTTCAAAGTTGTTGTTGTTGTTGTTTAAATATGTTTTCTATTGATTTTAGAGAGAGAGGAAGGGAGAGGGAAAGAGAGATAGAAACATAGATGAGAGAAAAACTTTGATTGTCTGCCTCCTGCACAGCCCCCACTGGGGATCGAGCCTGAAACCCCAGGCATGTGCCCTGACCGAGAATTGAACCTGCGACCTCCTGGTGCGTGGGACAACGCTCAATCCACCGAGCCACACTGGCCAGGTGTTCAATTGTTTTTAATTTCAGCTTCTAGATCAGAGCTTTCATTTATTGACCAAATTTCTAATATCCTTTTACTAAGAAGTACAAGACTTCAACCATTTAGGTAAAATTATATGTGAAATTATAAAGTTCAGGAAAAGAAATGGAGAGAGAAATCCCGGATTACATGCACCAGGAGGTTTATAAAAGGTGCCATTCTGTTGTAGAAAAGATGCAGGTCATTTGGAGAGAAAAAAACAACTTGATTGCAGATGATACCATAGTAATATTTATTATTTGAAGCCCAAACTAGGCTGCACTGAATGATTTTGGATAAATTTTACTTTGAGCTGCTTGAAAGAGGTTCTGGGGCAATGAACCTAAATAATTAAAGTCACTGCATGAGACCCCACCCAAGAGATGCTACAGGTAGTGGCATCACCTTCTGTGATAAGTAATCATTTATTTATTTAAATAAGCGATTTCTTCCAGCTGTTTCCCACTCTTGGGTGAGCACAGCTGGTTCCTTATTCACAACATCCTATCTTACCTCACTGAGTCCTCACTCCCAGGTATTTCTGGTGTTATAATCATTTGCACAGAAGGGGGGTTCCCGTGGCTCTTTTGCTTGTGTGTGGCTTCCAGTAATATTCTTAGGAGCTAGTTAAATATATTTAGGGGAGCAGAATCCTCCAAAGGATGCCCAGGCGAAAGTCTAAACTGACAGTTATTTGACAGAGAAAGGAGATTGATTAAACTCCCCGAAGACTGGTGCTGTGCATAATGCATTTATGCAGCAGGGGTGGGTCCTCCCTGCCCTGACAGTCTTGTTTCCTATTCTCGGTGTTGACAGAGTGGGTCTGTCAGTGCTTCAGAGGGTGTCAATGTACGTGCTGATGGTTACCACTTTATGTCTCTGCATCCCTGCCCCAGCTACCTCGCACTGCCTATTTCTAGTCCTCTGGCTGGCAAATCATTTTTGTTACAGTTCTTTGTGTAAAAACAGTTCACATAATAGCTCTGTGTTAGACAAGGCATTAATCCTCACATCACCGGGATGAGTCAGCACAGTGCACTCCTGCCCGCATGGCTCAGCTATTATGACGTCAGCACTGTAGAGCGAGCCTCAGACACAACAGTACAGGGGACTGAAGGCCTGTGTCACGGATTAGAGATCAAGAGGGAGACCTTGGAGATAAAAAATGTAATTGAAAGGCTGTCTCTGGCTCATAGGAAAATGTGAAAGTGATTCTATGCTATGTCAACCATCAGCTGAGCAGCTTGTAGAGAGATCCTAGTTTTTAACTAGAAATGAGGCTGGAGAATGACCTGTAATAGGCTGATAAATCATTCATGTACCCACTAACCTGGTCTTACCCCTGGGCCAATCTTCATGCTCGCAGGGATTGTTCCAAATCCTGAGGCCTGCCTTTATCTCAAGGGTGGCAGGGCCTGTGACAGTCCTGTTGTCCTCAAGTGCCCCACAGACACTGCTGATGGCTCCAGAGGTGGTGTCCCAGATGCCCATCAAAGGGAAAGGAAAGGTTCCTGGAAATAGATCAGAGCATTCTCTCCCCAGTGCTTCCAGCTCCTGGGGTCTCTGCAATGGCCTCCTTCAGACAGGGGTTAAGTTCTGCCTGCTTGACCTTCTCTTCTTGGCACTGCTGTTAGCCCAAAGTCCTAATCTGGATGTGACACGGATTTCAATAGAATAAATAGGTTCCAGATGTTCCCCCTAGAGTTTTCCATTTCATCATTATTTAGCAGAAATGAGGCAGAGCCCTCGATAACCTACCCTGCTGCCTGAAAGCAGGTATCACAGATCTGCCCTATTTGGGAAACCGGTTCTTACACGTTAGGCCTCCATGCAGTTCATACCCTGTTCATTCTCTGAATAATACCTATTAATACTAAGTGTTGAAGAAGCAGAAAATTCACTGCTTTAGTGACATTCTCTGTTAACAAGACATTCTCCATCCCACCATCTACCTCTCCTTCTTACAATCCCCCTGTGATAACCTTCAGAAAGTACCTTACTTCTGGGATCTTCTAGCTTCATTATATTGCTAAGAGGCTCCTAACATGCCTATAGAAGCTAATACTACTGCTTGGTTTGTAATTATCATGCACAGCTCTTTATTCAGTTTTTAGTCAACGAACATTTATGGGAAGCTAGTCACTAGGCTTGATACCTGGAACTCCAAAATAAAAAAAAAGTGCTGCCTGTTGTTAGGAATCTCAGAGTATGGTAGCAGAGATAAATAGTAAACAAAGGCTATACCATATGGTAGAAGCTGAGATGGAGGTATATACAAGATGTAGCGAGGGTTATGAGAAAGGAATGCCTACGTACATGTAAAGAGGTACTCAAGCTGGCCCTTAAAGTCTGAAGAATGAATTGCAGTTTCCTAGGTGGATGTAGAGGAGGGGAAAGCAGAAGAGGATCATAATTAGGAAAAAAGTGAAAGCATTTGCAAAGTCAGGAGGCGTCGAACAGCAGCAAGCTGCAGAGGACAGTGGTTAGTGTGGAGGAACGTGGTGGGAAGAGGAGCCTGGAGACAAATCTGAAAGTGGGAGGAGGCAGATCTCAGAAGGCCTGCCTGGTCTGCTGTGCACAGGAAGGAGTCTAGACTTGACGTTGAAGGCTTCAGGAGCCTGTGAAGAATTGTAACCAGATTTGTATTTTAGAAAAAAAAATGCTCTGCCCTCACTGGTGTGGCTCAGTTGGTGGGAATATTGGCTGTGTACACAGAAAGGTGGTGGGTTTGGTTCCCAGTCAGGGCACTTACCTAGGTTGCAAGTTTGATCCCCGGTTGGGGAGTGTATAGGAGGCAACTGATCGATGTTTCTCTCTCTCTCTTTTTTTTTCTCTCTCTCTCCCTCTCCCTTCCTCTCTCTAAAATAAATAAATAATAAAAACGAAAAAGAGCGCTCTGGTAATGGCAGAGGTAGTTTACTGAAAAAAAAAGGAGACCAGGTCAAAGGTGAAGACTAAGGGCTGAACTGTGCAGTGGGGGTGGGAGTGGAGAGGAAAGCCCATATGGTAGTGTTGATATAGGCATTGGCATTGCATAATGCCAGCATATCTTGGCCCAATGCAAAGTCCTTGCCTTCTAAGGGAAAGAATGATGTATTGCGTGGGGCCAAATTTCAGATCAAAGTATATCTTCATGGGAGCTTCACCAGAGAGCTCAGTGTAAATCTGACCTCACTCTGAGCTCTTGCCTACTAGTCTCCAGGGATGTGTGACTCCTTCTCCCCTAGTGGACTTGGGGGTGGAGCAGGCAGATATGGAGAAGCCATTCCCAGTGTCCTGCTTTTCTCATCTTTCATCTGAAAATGAAACCATTTCTTAAGAATGTGCCCCTAAAGTCAGTCAATGCCCCAATCTTCTATCATTTTCCCTTTGCTGTCTTTTTTAAGCAGAAGTTTCAAGCCATTGAGCTGAATTCCAACTTATGCACAGCCGGGTGTTGAAACAATTCAGTATATTCATTCCTGCTTTCTGAATTAGAGTTCACCATAAGTGTGCTTTTCTCTTGTTCACTTTGGGCTGCCAGGACAGTTTAAAGGAAATTTTCAACAGCTTTTGTTTCATGTACCACGTTCTCTTTTGCAAATGGGAGTATATATGTGGATATGTTTAAGTCTTCTCTATGTTGCTGTCTGGAGAAAGGGTTGAGAAGATGAGCAAGACAAGGACTGGGGACCCACAGAAAGCTCAGGTCCTTTCAGTGACCTGAGTGCAGAATGTAGGCTGGTGATCAGATGGTCAATTATGTGTTTGTCAAAACACAGTGGGCTGCATTCCAGACTGCCAGCTTTGGAGGCCCAGCTTCTGCCAACCAAATGTCATCTGGGAACATGCAACACTGGGCACTGTGAAGGAGTTTGAAATAGACCATGCCACAGCCAACCTACTGCCAGTCTTATAGCACCAATATGGCATGCACAGCCGGGCCCCATGTTTCAGAGCTCAGGAATTCGCTGCACTAAATTCAGGAGGTCAGATGGGTTCATGTTTTCAAAGCCTATGTTCTCTGCTTTGAACATTGTGACTTGCTCCTCAGCAATTTCCAAGGGATTTTTCCAGTCACATCTCTGTGGAAACCACTCTTTTTGTGATGGTTATGAAAGCCTTGTAAATGTCCCTTAGGAGAGAAAAAAATAAACTTGCTCTGACAATGACTGTGATTCCAACAGAGAGATTCCAACCCTTAGGAAATTACATGAAAGGTGCATAGCTTTTAAAATACCAGGAACCACCTTGGCAACTTATAAAAAGCAGAAGGGCTTTGCCTATTTTATAAAGTGATTTGCATATACCTGCATAAATAATGTCCCCACCTGTACTTTCATGCATTTAGGTTGAATAAATTAAATGCAGTGATCTTTAAAACA